CATCAAAAGCTAAAACTGATGATTCAGAAGTCGAAAGAAATTAAGGCTGCCAAATATATAAAAAATAAATAAATAAATAACATATGTCAATTCCTTATCATCCAACACAACAAAATATTTTGACACAAAACAAAAGTTTTTTTTTTTTAACCACACATTCTTCAAAAAATCACTATTATGTAACAGATTATCACATTAAGCAGTATTTTAGATTCAAACTTAAACCTATGTTTGAGCTCCTTTTTTCCCATAAAACTCATTTTCAACCACACATTTTTCCACAAAAATAATTTTAAACGTAACCCCAAAACTTTTCCATATTTTCAACCTTCCAAACCCTATTTTCCCCCAAAAATGGGGTTCAAACATGGCCTAAGTCAATAAGGAGGAATAAAGAAAAGATACCTTCTGAACATAGCTTCAGTCACAGATGGTGAAATCCTTGCCACAAAAATCCTAGTCACTTTACTCGGTGGAGCTCTCATCTCCTCTTATAGTACAAGGTTTGAAAGAAATATCAAGAGTTAAAAAGTCATAGCTTCTAAATCTTGTAAAGCAAATGCTGGAAGTACAACTAAATGGGTAATAATTACAACTTTAAATTAGTAAACTGTATAAATTAGAATAACTGGATGGTTAAAGAAGGTAACCTTTGGTGTGGCTATTTTGATCTTCGTTCGATTATATGTAACTGTTGGTTGATCATTCACTTCTTGTCGTTGTGCACCACGCAACTCTCTTGATTGGGCGTATAACTCTCGACGGCTGAATTACAAGTTTCTCTTCCTCCAGCATAAATTTATCTGCGTCGTTTTTTTCGTAGATCACAGCTTACAGTATCCATAAGATAAACAACTACATATAAAAAATATTCCCTCAGATGTTCTGGAGATGGAGATGGTAATCACATAAAAAAGAGAACGAATATTCCCTCACAACTAATTTCTTAACTTCCATTTCTTCCATATCTAAACAAGTTAAAGAAGATGAAACAATTGAGAGAAAGTCAAGTAAGTAGTCTGGAAATGTTTTTTTCTTGTTTGTTGGATTAAAATTGTAAACATGTAAATGTCTTCATAATATTTTTACTCACCATTCATCAAAATTTGGACATGAATACCTACCATTCCCAATGTAGTTGGCATTAACAGGTGTATCCATTGAGATATGCCATTGCAGAGATGGTACTAAATCAATGTGGAACTCAGAATGCCAGTAACCCAGGTTAAAGTCAGTGACAAGTAAGATTGGCTGCACAACCTCCATTGCCAATTTTGCCTCTTCCAAGCTCTACAAACTGATAAATATTAGTAGTGGTTAGATAAACAATTGTCAGTTAGATAAATTATTAGTGAATAAAACATATCCTGAAAGCTATCTTCAGGCAAGAAATTGGGGTTTCAGAATCTGAATAAAAAATGATGCTATTGAGTATGATTTTCAAAAAGTTCTGATTTCAATTCCCCCATTCAATGCTTAAATACATATTGTGTGTTCCTTATAAGTGAAAATCGGTGATAATTGACGATGAAAGCATGGCTAATATTAAGTGATCGGTTGCTCACCCAACGATAGTTGAGAGGAGCAGCAATTCCACCAACATAAGCAATAGCAAGCAGCCACTCCAGATACAAATCACTGAAATAAAATCCTATCAGCCTTAATAATCTCGAGTAAATGGAAAATGAATTTGAATTTAAAAACATGTTTTGAGTGTTTTTTCTACTCCTTGTGATTGGCTTATGACCTTCAGACAGGATAGGAGATCGGTGACCAATTAAAAAGTATCCAACTTTAGACGGATCCAGAGTGACAGGAGTGACATTGATAGCAACGATGCCCATAAAAAACAATGGCTTCAACACATGCGAGCAGCAACAATAACAAGCTAAACCTTAACATCTTCTTTCCCTTTAATCCATTTCCATTACATACTACTCCAAATTGAAGTAATAATGCATGGAGTGATGCAAATCAATTCAAAAGAACACACACAGCTTCAATTCTAGACCAGTATTTCGTTAAGTTGCCTGTGATGGAACCAAAACTGATCTCAAGACAATGCACTATTAATGCCAAAACTCTGGATCCGTCATTTTACACTTTCCATGAACCCACTTTTGAATAGGATTGTATTCTGGTGCATAAACAATGGATAAAGAGGTTTTTTTTTTGCCATTATCGAAAAGGAAATGTAAAAAAAAAAATAGTACTTCATGCTACAATAGTTGCAAAATTTGAAAATGCAATCTCATAATATGATCATTAATCAAAAATGACAACAGAAATCACGTGGACAATGCTAGAGGATCAAAATCAATTATCCAAAACTCTGTCTCCCATCTCTTTTTCCTTTTTACCCTTTTTATGGCGGCTATCTAGAAAGTGAATCCCTTGATCCATACGATGGCAACCATATTTCGAGGTGGGTCCAAATGAACAAATTGAAGTGAGCCTCAGTGTACGAGTACAGAAAGTTTAGAAACCCCATAAAGATATCAGCATTTCTAAGGTAACCTAGAATTAAGATTGCAACTGAATATGAAAACCGCCCATACTGTCTAAACACATGTTGAATTTTGAGATATCAGACTGCTCCGCTTTGCCAAACAAAAAAGAGAAAAGGCAAAAATAAGAGACTCAATAATCAGAAAAAGATCATCTCACATGAACTCAATATTTATAATCCTTGTAGTTATGGAGTGAGAATTATAGGGGCAGAGCAAAATTAGTCTGAAATTCATACTAAACAAATTTGTCATAACCACAAGAAATCATTTCTAACCCACCCTCGTACTTGTCAATTGCTTCACGCATTTTCTTATAGTGTCCATACCTGTAAATGAACAACATATGTGGTGACAAAACAGATTGATGTACTTCTGGATGCAACTAACAGGAATCGCACTGCTAAAAGCTTCTAGCAACACATGCTAATTGATGACTGTTTCTAAAACAAGAAAATATTATAGCGAACTTTTAGGTTTCAAACTGTGAGATTATCTCACACAAACACCATCACACATATGTCCAAGCTTCAAGAGCTTAAACTATATTGTGCGCCTCAATAAATTTTAACTCTATCCCACACACCAGTTCAAATTAAAATATTTGGAAACAAGCTTACCGGTACGATGATTGGTCAAAAGTGGATCTATCTCATACGATGTGTCAGAAGTTCCTTCAGCCTTTTTAACAACTTGGCGATTCCTCTCTGATGGTTTCACTAAAACTGGTACTCCGGTCAACAAAATTTTTGCTTTCATGTTCCATTTTTAAACTTTCTAAATCATCTGATATCTATGGAAAATATTTGTGCATAGAGAATAAGATCAGTGGAAGGAAGATATAGTTGTTATAAAAGGTAGCATTCACACAGTCATTTTCATTTAAGCAGATTGAAAATGTTGATTCTGATAACAAATAGGCATCTGGTATTTGCTCCAAGATTTCTCATTCTGAATTGTAGCAAAGGTGAAAAGAATTCTTATCATACACATCAATTCTGATATTTAGTTATATATTTAAACTGAACACATAGGCACCAGATAAATCGAATCTAAGTTCATTTCTTTCGGTACTGGAAATCGAAGAGAGGCAAAGGAAGAAAAGATGTCAAGTTGAGGTAAACATGAAGCTTGTCAACTGAAATGTCTAAA